GCCGTCGATGAAGAGCCTTGCACGACTGCCGTCGATGAAGAGCCTTGCACGACTGCCGTCGATGAAGAGCCTTGCACGAATTCCTCATGGTCAGAGATGGGCACATACGGATTCGCGGGACTACCCTGTGCTCGAGAGGGACCCTTCCCCTTGTCAAGTTGCCTACGCTTAACACTTGGCCCTTCCTGTCTCACATCTCGTGCGAGCTCGCTCTGACTGTCAGAGTCAGATATCTCGATGACATCGATGTCAGAGGTATCCCACTAATGGGGCACACAACCGTCAGAGGTGCTTGTGTTTCACTAAGAGTTCTGAGTACATACGCTGCGCTGCACCTGTTTGCCTTTCCCTTTGTCCCGCTGGACCTGGCCGGGGCCCCTTGTGAGAAACAGGACGGGTATGCAGACAGCAATGACAACACGTACCGTTTGCTTAGCGTAAGGACCGTCAGAGTCAGATATCTCGATAACATCGATGTCAGATGTATCCGGCATGCGCTAATGGGGCACACAACCATCAGAGGTGCTTGTGTTTTACGAAGAGTTGTGAGTACACACGCGGCGTTTCACTTCTTTCCCTTTACCTTTACCTTTGCCCCGCTGGTCCTGGCCGGAGACCCTTGTGAGAAACATGACGGGTATGCCAATAACAATGACAACACGTACCCTTTGCTTAGCGTCTCGGGCAGGGTCGTGAAAACCATCGTAGATTTCGATGATATCGCTGTCAGAATCGTCTTGACGGGGCTATTGGTCCTCATAAGCATCAGGTAGCTTGGCTTTGGGATGAAGTATGGTCACTCACACGTTTAGTGGACGATTTGGGGGTAGCCTTCATGACTACATTCTTGCTGTTCTATGTGAGGAACACAGCGAGAATGATGAATGGTAGATGGGATGTAACACTCATGCAACAACAGAACGTGACGAACCTTCTTGGGGTCGGCCGAGCTCTGGGTAGTGTGTGTGTTGAAATCGGTGCGCATTCCCTGCACCAAGGACCACGGATGAGATGTGAGTTTACTGCGCATGTGAGGTCAAATTATCTTACCAGCGCTTGCTGCGGGGGCGAATACCATGGAAGTAAGCATGACCACATCGTGGTGCGAGGGTGAAACAGACGTACCCTGGGTGTGGCTTTTTTCGCGTGCTTGGTACTCTTGTCAGTACGATGACGGGACACCTTCTTCGCGGCTCTGTCGACGGCATGAACAGGCTCCTGCTTAATGGCTCTGTCGACGGCGTGGATGGGTTCCTGCTTGATGACCCTGTCGACGGCGTGGATGGGTTCCTGCTTGATGACCCTGTCAAGAGTGTCCACGGGTTCCTGCTTGATAGTCCTATCGACGATGGGAGTGGGAGGTTTCGTGGCGCGTTTGCGCTTGGGCGTGGCAGGGTTCTAGGGTGAGGAGAGCGTCAGAGGCCTCAGTGACATGGGGAAGAAAAAGTCCATTCTCTTACGTCGGGCGCGTCCCGGGCATCGCGTTCTCTGATTTTCTCGATCGAGTCCAACTGCTCGGCGGGAATTGACGGCTGGTCCAGGATCAAGTTGAAGCGCGATCTGGTTGGACACCTGAAGCACTGGTTGCGATGTGCTCGGTAAGGTCACTGAAGGAAGATTGGAG